GACCATCAGTTAATGATTTATTAACATTTTACTGTGGGCCCCTCTGTTAATTCTTGTTTGCTGTCTGGGCACTTTGTCTCTCAGCTGTGCTGCTGGGAGTTACTATTTTTATGGTAGAGGCAGGCAGTAAACTTTCACAAGTGTTAAGACAAACTTGCTGAGTGAGCCACAAGTCAAGAAAACTAGAAATCTGCAGTATACAAAGACACGCGTTTCTTCAACTTGTGATCTGCAGCAGGAAAAGCAATCCTGGGGATGAAGAGTTTGTATTCAGATGGTATTGCAGTGGTCCAGACAATGAACCAGAGAGCAAAGACAGTCCTTGAGAACTGTATTTGGACCTGAGGACCTGAGCTCCTTTTTTATGGCTGAATTGGCACAAAACTAGCCCGGAAAGATAGTTCTTGCATCTTCTCTCTTTATAGAGTAAACTGTTCCTAGTGAGGTACTGGCTCCTGCTGATAAGCTGTTTCTGGTTATCAACCATTTTGATGGAAGCTAGTTTGGATATATTCCCACTCTGTTCTGTTAATGCTGTTTGTCCAGATCTGTACTTACCAGGTGCAGAAAAGAAACTCCGGCTAGCAATATCTGCTAGTGTTGTAATGTTAATTACATTATGTATGGTATCTGCAAACCTCCCTTGTGGTCCCTGAATGGTACAGTTTTCTAACAGAACGCCCAGCTACAGATGTGGTTATATAGGCAAAAGCTACCCTTCTAATGTAAAAATAATCTTCCTTGCAAGAAGCTTTCAAATGGGAAAAGCCTTCTTGCCAATGTAAACAGTATCTTTGCAAAGTGATTTCTGTTGTTGTTGCCACAGCAGTGAAATTTGTAAGTCTTGAGCTGGTCTATAGGAGACGAAGTTCTCTGCTGTGAGATAATTCAGGGCACTAACAGAGGTATGTCTCCCTTCCTCAAGCACTTGTTTGCCTAGTGTACCTTTCTGCAGTCTTTTGGTTGTTTTGTGCTGGATAAGAACAGTGCTATCATGAGCCTTTCATAATCAAGCTAGTGGGACAGCAATTTGTAGTACTTTATCTCCTATCTTTGCTGCTTTACTGATACCCACACATTTTATCCATGTTTGATTGTGTCTGTATGTTGCATTAGATAGGACTTTATAGAAAACGCCAACTCAGGTTTTTTTCTCTCCTCCCAGTAGCAAAAGAGTGAACAAAAACCTGAGTGACTTAAAGAAATTCTGACCTAGTTGGAAGAAACACTCTTTAAAAATGTCACTATTAATCTAGTAGTCCTTGCAAAATTATAATTCTTCTTAAGGCTCATGTTTCTTTGTAGTTACCTCTGCTTCTTCAAAGTAATGAAGTCTTTTCTCTGTCCTGTTCAAATTAGATTCCTATGCTTTCTGTCTCTTTGCCTTCGTGGACAGGCCAGTCTGCCATGTGGCTGCTTGCAGGCTGCAAACTCTCAGCCAGCCAAGCCATCTCGGTGGCAGGCAGATGGTCAGCCTGCTGCCACCTGCCTCCTGGCAAGCACTGCTGAAATGGTACAGAGGAATGCTTGTTTTCATGCTTCTTGAGTCTCTTAAAAGGGCCAAGCTGAAATACAGCACAAATTTCCAGTTCCGTATGAAATCCGCCATGAATGTGTTGCTTATGTTTGCAAAGCGCTTTTAGGCTGTGGCTTAAGTGGTGCCCTAACCAGGCCAAATGTTTTTTGGACTTCTAACAACACACACTGAATTTGCTTATTAATTTGTGAGTTGTGTTCTATTTAAAAACATACAAACATTAATGAATTTTGGTGAAATCCATGTGGTAACCCAATCTCCCTTCTCAGTACATATTTAATGAGCTAAAGAAGACTAAGTTTAATGGTGAATTAATATTTAATATTTTAGAAAACAACTGTATGTGTTTTTTTAAAATATGCAGTTCCAGCCTATTTCTACATAGAGCTCTTTCATTGGACCTTCTAATTATGTTGCACGTGTGGGATAGTTGTGTGACTTCTTATTATAAATAAGGATTGAAAGTGGAAACTTATTTGCCTTGATAATTCAAGGTTACCACTTAGCCTGAGGGATTAGGTGCTTTGAAAAAAAAAAAAAAAAAACAAAAAAAAAAACAAAACCAAACACAAATGCCAAGGTGGTGACAGTGACTCCTCAGTAAAGCAGAAATACTGGAGACGTCAAGGCTGACAGTTAACACTCCACAGAAAATTATCTTTGTTGTAGTTGTTATCGCTTGGCTGAGAATAGTAAAATACAAAGCACAGTGATATGTACTTTTGTGAAGATGCAGCTGTCCTCCCGGTGCTTGCACTGATCCAACATCATGCACAAAAGTGGCAGAGCTGTAAAGCCCTGACTTCAGCAGCAGCTTCATGTGCCAGAGCTTGCAAGATTCAGTGATGCTCCTCCCTCCATAAAATGTTATTTTGTGGTTTGTAATTTGGCTCCTGGACATACAGCAGTATATCCAGATGCTGCTAAAAATACGGTGGTTCTTCTTATTCTGGCAGGTTGGAGTAGTAAAGAATATTTATAAGGTGTGGTTTTTCCTTTCCAGTTAAAATGTGCCACCCTTGAATTAAAAGAGGTCAAGGTATTTTACCCTGATGCTTAGTTTAGGATAATGTTGAATTTCCATCAGGCCTTGTACCTCTTGGTGAAAGCTTTCCTGAAAATAGGAATTATCTGGGGACTACATGCATCAGAGGGCTAATGGCTGGTTGAAAACTTGACATAAAAAAGAAACTATAAATATGACATTTTTGTCACAGCCCCAGTGATTTTTGGCAAAACCTCCAGTTGCTTAGTAGCTAGGTAGCTTGCATCTGTTTTACTCCTGCCCTTTCAAAATTACTTGACAAAGCTACTTATTCTCCCCGTAAGGCAAACGGGTCTCACTGACACAACTTAAACTTTTTATATTGGAATACATACATAACCCTCTTCCCACCCAACTGCCAGTCTATTCAGCTAAAACTTCTCAGTAAATTCAGCTCAGTGATCTTACAGGCCACTGAATCACTGCAGGATGACTATGGTAAAGGCAGAAATGGGTTCTTTAAAGAACATTTCTCAAAGCTTTTGAAGGTACAGTGCCTTTCTGATTGCTCTCTGAAGGCCTGAATAGTTAGAATTTCAGGATTATTTTTTTTCCTAACACTTCAGCACCTCCTTTGAATCCTGTTGTGATCCATAGTTTGAAAAAACAGTACTTTAAAAACCAATCTCTGGTGGGCAGCTACCACCAGAGATTATTGTGATTACAAAACAACTTCTTGACAATAGTTTATTAGTTTTTGCATTTCTCAAACCTTTTCCTCTGAGCAACTTAAAGCACTCAGCTTCACAATAACTGTAATACATGATTTAAGCTGTTATCCTCTAAACTGAATGAGAATGTAGAACTCAGTAAATCAGAGGAGATTAAATTTTTGTTTTATTGAAATAGGACTGTTGTCTGCATGAAAGCTTTCCATGTTGCAAACAGAAGACAATTAGATTCCTGAGGGGCATGGTTAATTTGCAGTTGTATTCATTTGTAAAACAGAAACAAATGTCAAGTCTTGTACATCAAAAAGGACATAGGGCCTTCATAATAGGGCAAAAAAAAAATCTTGCAGCTTGCTAATAAGTTGGTGTGCTTAAACAAGGCAACAAGGATACTTTTGCATGCCATGTCCCTGTAAGACATTGATGAACTCGGACTATACTGATACAAAATACATTATATACTTCTTCCAGTGTCAAGTTCTTAAAATGATATATTAGTGATAGAGATGTGAAGTACTAATGCTAATAAAACATTATATTGAACATCTTACTGTACAGTACAAGGCAGGTGACATATTCAGTGATGAATATATTGATATTAGCAGATAAAAGAATGCATTTGAGTTCAGGTTGTTCTGAGACTTATTTTCCCAAGATGAGATTTCTGCTATCTGTCATTTCTTCATCTTACCAGACTAAAATATGACACTGGATAGATACTTTGCTTTGTTGAAAGGGCTGCCTGGATTTTGCAATAAAGTGTATTATACTTTCATCTTTGTTTCTGCTGTGCAAGTTTATGGCATTCTCTATTTCTTCAGTGTGACATCTTAGGGAAATAACACTAACAAAGAAATAGGCATTTAACTGCATGATAGATATCTGAGCCTCTGCAAAAAGGTTAGGAAGGAGATGGCAACAGACTGTAGGAGAAAAGGAAGTTTCCCAGCCCCTTAGTTCATGTGCAAATCACTTAAATTTGAGGTATTGAAGGTGTCTTCTAAGACGTGAATGCCTTGTCTCAAACTTCTTGGCCTGGATTTTCCCTGGCGCAGAGCATTCAAATATAAGCTAACTTAGGAAATACTAAGAAATCGGACCTTGGCCCAAAGTTTCAAGCAAGGTCTGTAATTCAGAGCACGTGTTTGACACGTTTTTTTGAGATATCTGCGCCAACTTCTCAAAAGTGACAGACCCAACAGAGTTAAGTGGTAGCAGTGGAGGGGACCGGTGGATGTTCTTTTGATGACTGGTGTCCCTATCCGGTCACCCAAAAAGAAAGACACAATGTACGTTTTAAAGTGAGGACAAAAACCTTACCTAAGGATAGGAGACTGACTGTAAGTACCTACAATCTTTTTTTCCCCCTTGAATTTTTGAGATCTATATCCCAACCATCTTATTCTCTAGCAGCTGATGTTTGGGTTATCCAAAAGCAGAAAACTGATCTCACTCTAAATAATTTTCAGAGTGAAATTCGAACACAATTGCTTTCAATGGCAAAATTCCCAGTGACTTCTGTGTGGGCAGAAATGTGCCTCATGTATTAATTCTGCTTTCGTTTGAGTGCATCTATTCTGTCATGTTAGGTAATAATTTGTTCTAGCTTCAAATTATCATAGAGAAGCCTTTTACAGCAAATTTAAAGGTTGAATGTGGCTTGGAATTTTAAGTCTATGACTTTACATTACTTCAGCTGTGCTATTATATACAGCACACCACATGTATAGAATAAAATGCAACCTACCTAGTGTTGGATCATACTCCCAGATAAACCGTTTGGTCAGGAAGCGTACAACGAGAGCTGTAGGAACAAAAATATTCCAGGTGAGAAGCACAAGCCATCAACTCATCTGGTTTTTAAAGCTTTCTCAGCAAACTTTTCTGTGTGAAAGGGCATGTAGCAGCTCCACTGAACTGTGAGCAGAATTCAGCTTTTCTTATTGGGGCAGTCAAGACCTTTTCACTATTTGGGACCCACTTTACATTTCTGGAGGGGGGAAACAAAATGAAAACAAAACCAAAAACTCTTTACAGAATTAATAATTTACCCATGCAACAATGCAAGACAAAGAATATCAAGAGATTTTCAGTGGTAATCTCTTTTTTTCCCACTTTTTTTTTTTTTTTGTCACGATAGCTTCTACCATTTAAAAAGCAAAAACAACCCCATTTACAGTTCTATGAGCAGACGATCTTCGGAAAAAAAAAGCCCACTATTTTGGATGCTTTAGGTTTCTCATAACAAGTGGGAGACGGGTTGGCAGTTTTTTAACCAGGATGCTTGGAAGCTTCAAAACTAGAGGTGCTCGAAATAATTTAATTCTTGAAAACTTTCCCTTCAGATTTTAAACTGCGGAAGTTAAACGTATCATTGACTAAATAGCTTCCTTTCATATTTTGGTGTGCCTTCCTTGCAACAATTTATCTTCCATGTTTTGCCTCTTTATCACTTGAAGAAATCAGCTATAATATTTTAAACAATGGAAAGCAAATGCTATTAATGAATTTGCAGAAACAGAAATAAAGCTTCAGATCTCAGAGCACTGGATAACTAGTTCCCAGTTTCAGTCTGTGGGCTAAGATCTTGTTCCTTATGTTCTTATATTTAATTTTTTCTATCTCTCCACACTCCTTAAAAGCAACCTGTAAAGGCTTTGTCAGGATATTGATTATGTTCTAGTTTAAACCTAAGCAGTGCCTTGACCTTCTAGTGGTGTAAATGAGTATTCACCACTGCCAAATATTCAAAACCTGTTTGCATTTACAAAATGGAGCTAGAGATATCACTGCACTAGCTATGACTGCAATGATTTCAGCAACAGCAAAAAGCTTTCCTTGTCATAAGCCCTACAGGATTGTTCTGTTGTTCAGTAAAAGGTGACAGTAAACCCTGTCCTGATCCTTTCCAAAACTGAAGCCATGAGAATGCCGCACACCCCAGATTTCTGTGCCCAAGAGTAGCACAAGGCAACACTGCAGAATAAATATAATTAATTAAGCTTTGCTTAATTGGAACCTATTTTTTTAAATACAACCAGAACATTAGTTTTCAGGAAGATTTAACTATGCCTGACACTTGGAGGGGTAATAAGAAGCTGGTCCTAAGGAAGTGAGATCACTGTACAAGAAGCAATTTGAAATTGGTGTTAAGTTTTTATTTTCTTTAGGAAATCCTACTTTTTTTTTTTTTTTTTCCCAGTCTTTGCAGAAATGCTCTCCTTGGCCCTCAGAGTGAATGTGGCAATTCTTAGCCAAAGTAACTTTTCAAGTCATAGTCCTAATGTGGATGTCATTATGCTACAAAAAAATCTCAGTGTAGCTCATTTTCCATCCATGATGATGTCTGCAACAGGACTTTTTTTCACAGAATCATTGAATAGTTTGTGTTGGAAGAGACCATTAAAGGTTATCTAGTCCAACGCCCCTGCAATGAACAGGGACATCTTCAATTCAATGAGGTTGCTTAGAGCTCTGTCCAGCCTGACCTGGGATGGGGCATCTTCCACCTTTCTGAAAAACCTGTTCTTGTGTTTCACCACCTTAATAATAAAAAATGTCTTCCTCATATCTAGTCTGCATCTATCCTCTTTTAGTTTAAAACCATTACCCCTTGTCCTGTCACAACAGTCTCTACTAAAAAGTCTTTCCCCATCTTTCTTGTAAGCCTATTTTAAGTATTGAAAGGCTGCAATAAGGTCTTCCTGGAGCCTTCCCTTCTCCAGGCTGAACTACCCCATCTCTCAGCTTTTCCTTGTAGGAGAGGTGTTCCATCCCTCTCATCATTTCTGTGGCCCTCCTCTGGACTCACTCCAACTGGTCCATGTCTTTCCTGTGGAAAGTCCAGAGGACTCCAGAGCTGGATGCAGTATGCCAGGTGGGGTCTCATGAGAGTGGAGCAGAGGGGGAGAATCAACTCCCTTGACCCACTGGTCATACTTCTTTTGATACAGCACAGGATATGGTTGGCTTTCTGGGCTGCAAGCACACATTGCTGGCTTATGTCCAGCTTTCCATACTCCAATTTATCATTTTCATTCCAGTCAATAGGATTAATTTAACCTAATTTTAGCCATATGCAGAAGTTTTAGCTAAATATCTAGTCCCCCTCTACAGTTAGTGGAAGACATTTCTAGGATACAAGTCATTAAGTTTGAGATTATTTGATGACCTTTAATGGTCACTTCTAACCCAAACCATTCTATGATTCTGTGTTGTGTCACCTATCTCTAGAAAATCTATTACATGGTTTGTTTATGTGACAAATCTAGACTAATACTCTAAGATTTATAAAGCCAAAGGAAATTTCCCACATTTTACCTCAGCTGGAATTGTTTAAACATCTTCATGTTTTAGAAGTTTGGTTATGACTCTTCTCTAATTGCTAGTAATAGGTTCTCTAATTGCTAGCAAAATACGTAGCGTGTTTGGGTTTTTTTTTTTTCCATTTTTGACTGGGGAATTGATGTAGGCTAAAAGTTCTCCTGACATGCCTTCAGAAGATTTCTTACAATCTTCTTTTTCAAGAACAGATTATAAAAATGTTTTCTTGCTTCATAGCTGTACTCTGAAGGAGAAGCAGTGATGTGCTACCTGTGTTGCAGTGCCTTACGCTGAGCCTGTGCTGGGACAAGGAGTAGCTAACGATGAGAGAAAAGGCACAAGAGAGTGAGGGAACCTGTCCAGCTATTTTCATATTTAAGCATGGTCCACTTAGAAATTACAACTTTGTACTTGCAGATGGAAATTGATGGAGTGGAAGGGTCAAAGTGATGAAGGGAACTGGAAAAAAGTCTGTCAAGCACTAATGTCTGAGACAGGTGATAGAGAGCAGCAGAGCTCTGAAGGAAAAGAGGGACAAGAGCTGATTTTGGATGTAGCCCAAATGAAGGAGGTAAGAAGGTGACATGTGATAAGGAAAGGTAGAACTGGACCACAGCAGCTGAGATGAACCTGGGAGAAGAGAGGTACAGCTATGTACACGGGATGAAATGGTACAGGTGCTGAGCGCTAGAGAAGTGAAGAATTAGAGATCACAGATGTGAGCTCTGGTGAGGAGGGGAAAAGTAGGTTGTACTTGTCTCCAGCAGGAGGCCTGTATGCAGAAATAACAAATAATCACATACGCAGGAGGGAGCTGAAGAAAAGAAAGGAAGGGTGGGAGGTGGCTGCCAAGCATAGGGCCAGATGGCAATTATTCTCCCTTGCTGGCAGGTCTCGGCAGCGAGCACAGCAAGCCCAGTGAGCTGCTCACTCGGCACTGCCAGTGATAAAGTACTTGCATAAAGCTTGCTTGGGCCTGGTGAAGCAAAGAAAATAGCACCTCAGCACAACCCCAGGTGAGTGGGGAAACATCAGCTTCAGAGCCACATGCTCTGTGCCAGTTTTGGGGCACGCACACTTGGGGTTGCAGAGAGCTGCTGTTCCTGTGGGGCTGGCTCTGCTCATCCTCCCTGCTTCTAGCATGGCTGATTCCCTCAAAATCCTCCTGCTCTCCTTCATGGCAACGGTCACAGCCCATCCTATGGAGATTTTCACTTCCACGTGTTTTTACAGGGATGAAGATTAGCAGCTGTATTTCACAGATGGGGGGTGTGAGATGCTCTTGATCCAGTGTCTGTCCTGTTTATGACTGTTGTAAACTCTGTTAGATGGGACATGTCTTCACTTTTGCCTCATTAGGGGTGCTTAGAAGATAGGTCCCCGACATCCAGCTGAGTATTAAAACAATGTATGTGACTTTGCTAGCTGATTTGACTGAAAATGGTCAATGAGAGGAGAGTTGGGAAGGGCATCCAAGTGCTTGGGTTGTCAGTCCTGGCTCGCACAGCCTGCCCTAGCAATGATCCCCCTAGAGCAGGAGTTTTACTGTGGAGCCATTTTGTTTATGTTGAGCTCCCTTACTGCCAGATTACATCACTTTTTTACTAAAATAACTTCTGCCAGCAGAGGCATCACAAGTGAGGACATCACGAATTCACTACACTTAGAGATGTAGCACTCAGATTCCTGCTGCTGGCATAAATGATGCTTCGGGCAAAGTAATAAAACTTACCACTGTCCTTAGTAATGCTGCACAGAAAGAGTTGAGGTGGGAGTCACTTCCTTGTCATCTTCACAAAGGTGTGTGCACCCTATTTGACCCATCAGCCTTATTCACACATGCTTAACTCCAATACTAATAATGAGCCAAAACCAACCCAACACACTGGAAAAAAAAAATACAAATGCTGGGGTTTGATTCAAAATAACATTGAGGTTGAGAATGTCTGAAATGCATTATTTTCTGATTACACTAGGCGACTAATTCCAATGTTCATATCAAAATGACCATTTCCAGTGCTTATCCTCAAAGAAGACGAAATGTGTTTTGAAGCAGGCAAGACTCAGATCGATTCAGTAACTAATAGGAGTGAATTTCATGGTCCTCCATTGAGACTAGTCCAGGCTCTTTGCTGAACACTTACTGCTTATGAAATAAAAGAACTTGCAGGCTTAGAAGGAAAGATCCTCCAACAAACTGTGATTTGGATTCCCGCTGTGTTTTTCGGAGACATGACCATTACCTAAGGGAATTGATGTAATGTCCCAGCAAAGGAAGAACAGACTCATGTCTGTTTCTGCCTTTCTTTACACTCTCACTTCCAAGTCAGCTGTTTTGTACAGGGTTTAGAACTTGGCCCAGGACTTTCATTCACTCATGTTTAAACCTTCTGCCTCAGAAGTTATTCTTGGAGAAGAAACATGACTATCTGTCAAATACATTTGCAGTATAACTCCACTGAAGACAATGAAGTTATATCA